AGTTTCCCAAAATCAAAGAAAGACAGGCCCATACAAATAAGAGAAGCATATAGAACACCAAATAGACAGGACCACACAAGAAACTCTCCATGGCACATCATAGTAAAAACCCTAAATGTACAGAACAAAGAGACAATATTGAAAGCTGCGAAAGAAAAACAACCAGTCACATACAAAGGAAAATGCACCAGGATAACAGCTGACTTATCAGTGTAAATGATGAAAGCCAGAAGAGCCTGGACCAAAGTAGTCTCAGCATCAAATGACCACAGATGCCAACCCACATTACTTTACCCAGCCAACGTATTGATTATAGTCAAAGGGGAAAGGAAAATCTTCCATGACAAAATTAGGCTGAAAGAATTCATTCCACAAAATCAGCCCTTCAGAGAGTTCTTGAAGCTATACAAAGAGCTGAAGAAAGGAATGACTATACTCAAGGGGTTATGGAAAGAAACTTAATGAAGGTATAACTATGGAAATGCACAGCTACACCAAGAATGTGAACAGAAATAAAAAAGACAGGAATCAATACACATCTTTCATTAATAACTTTAAATATCAATGGAATGAACTCCCCAGTCAAAAGATAAAGACTAGTTGAATGGATTTAGAAACAAAACCCATCTTTTTCTTATCTGCAAGAAACTCACCTCACTTTCAAAGACAGGCACTACCTTAAGGTGAAAGGATGGGAAAAAATATTCCAAGCGAATGGTACTAAGAAAAGGTGTTGCAATTCTAGTATCTGATAAAATAGACTTCAAACTAAAACTAATCAGAAGAGATAAAGAGGGCCACTTCTTTCTGATCAAAGGAATAATTGACCAGGAAGATATTATAATCATGAACATATATTCACCAAACTTTGGTGCACCCAACTTCATAAAAACACTACGACAGGACTTTAAGATCCATATTAATCCTAACTCATTAATAGTAGGAGACTTCAATACCCCATTGTCTCCATTAGATAGGTCAACAGGACAGTGAAGTAACAGAAAGACATCTGAATTAAACAATACCATACATCAAATGGACCTAAAAGACATCTACTAAATATTGCACTCAACCACCAAAGAATATATTTCTATTTAGAGCCCCATGGAACATTCTCCAAAATCAACCATATACTGGGGCATAAAACAAACCTCAACAAATACAAAAAGATTGAAATAATTCCATGCATTCTATCAGACCACAATGCAGTAAAGCTTAAAACCAACACTGGAAGAAACCCTAATAACTACATGAACATATGGAGATTAAACAACACACTCCTGAATGATGAATGGGTCAAAAGAGAAATTAAGAAAGTAGTAAAAGTATCTTGTAATTGAATGAAAAGGACAATACAACACAATAAGGCCTCTGGGACATGCTGAATGTGGAATACCAAGAAGGAAGTTTATAGCTCTAAGTGCCTTAATTAAAAAATCAGAAAGAAAACAAATAAATAACAACATTGCAACTCAAGATACTTGAAAAGCAACAACAAATGAAACCCAAACCCAGCACACAAGAAGAAATAACAAAAATCAGAGCTGACAACACAGTGGATAGTAACAGGAATAAAAGAGTATATGGGCTCCAGTGGTGGGGGAGGCTATGGGAGGGTTCCATTTGGGAAGCAGGTATAAAGGGGAATAAAATTTTTTTGGATTTTCTGTATGAAACACACACATAAAAAATCAATAAATTTAAAAAATGAGTTATATTTGAGGAAGAGGCATAAAAATTTGCTTCATGTTAATTAGTAGAGGTGAAAAACATTACCACTGAAATCGACCTGATGACTTTATATCCATGTTCAGGTGCCAAGGATCTCAGAAAATAACCTCATTCAATATTATGTCTTATAGGGTTTATACTGAGTACAATATTGTATAACTATATTAATTCAACTGTGAACTTAAAAATTTACAACCAATTTTAAAAGAGATGCATCTTAGCTCTGGAAATTTTTATTGATTATGTCAATGCTGTTGTAATGAAATGCTGCTTCTAATCATGTGGTTATTAAATAAATAATTTTTAAAATTGGTTGTGCCTGCGGATTTACTGTTTCTACTTTGGCTGACAAGAAAACAACTAATAAAACTGCTTACTAAATTTTAAAATACCCACAGGTATTACAGTGACTTAGCATGATGCTTCCTACCTGACAAGATCTTCTCTGTCTTGGAAGATCTGCGTCTTCCGATTGACTTTGTAACTAGGAAATTCCATTCGGCCAAGATTGACCAGCAGCACAGTGGAAAGCTGGCCTTGACCCCCACAAGCAGCTTCTTCATCTTCCACGGAATCAGTCAATGAAAACAGCAGCAAGATCCGGGAAAACACAGCCCTGGGGCCTTTACACACTCGTAGCGACCGTCCAGCCAAGTCTTTAGCTCTATAATACATATAACACAGAAATCACCTATTTTTTAAGCCTTTGAATATGATATTTTTCCAAATTATTCTCAGGTAAAATAAAGATAAATGGCATTCATTATTCTAAACCTGCTATGTGACAATAGAGTTACTTATCCTCTCTGCAACCAGAGCATCACAGACATGGAGGAAAATAAATGAATTTTATCTCTAAATGGTTTTATGCATGGTTTGGATCACCAAAAGTCTTTCCTTCCCTAGCCATAGACTAGGTAGGGTTTACCTGGTTATGAACATTTAAAATACCAGGGAAACTCACAGAAATATTCATTACCTCTTTGACATTAGCAATTCTCAATTATTGATTTGAATGGTAAATCAGAGAATAGGTGCCCCTGGGTGCTGGCATAGAGGAAGGAGAAGAATCTCAGGATAATGGTAGTGACCAGACCTTCAACAGGATTGTAGAAGAAAATCTGCCAAAATTAAAGAAAGACATGCCCATACAAGAAGCACAAATAGACAGTACCAGAAAAGAAACTCCCCACCACATATCATAGTAAAAACACTAAAGGTACAGAACAAAGAGAGAATAATGAAAGCTGCAAAGGAAAACAAGTCACATATAAAGGAAAGCCCATCAGAATTACAGCTGACTTTTCAGGGCAAACAATGGAAGCCAGAAGAACCTGGATCAAAGTATTCCCAGTTTAAATAACCACAGATGCCAACCCAGAATACTTGAAGCAATACAAAGAGCTGAAGAAAGGAACAACGATACCCAAGGGGTAGCAGAAAGAAACTAAATGAAGGTGTAACTGTGGAAATGCACAGTTAGACCAAGTGTGAAAACAGAAATCAAAATGACAGGAATCAATACATATCTTTCATTAATAACTTTAAATATCAATGGATTGAATTTCCAAGTCAAAAGATAGAGGCTAGTTGAATGGATTAAGAAACAAAATCCATGTTTTTGTTGTCTGCAAGAAACTCATCTCACCATCAAAGACAGGCACTACCTTAAGGTGAAAGGATGGAAAAAAATATTCCAAGCAAAGGTTGCACTAAGAAACAAGCAGGAGTTGCAATTCTAATATCTGACAAAATAGACTTCAAACTAAAATATCAAAAGAGATAAAGAGGGTCACTTCATTCTAGGTTACTCCAATCAGAAGAAGAATTAACCAAGAAGATATTACAATCATGAACATATATGCACCAAACTCTGGTGTACACAACTTCATAAAAACAGTATTACAGGACTTTAAGACACAGATTAATCCCAACTAACCAACAGTAGAGGACTTCACTACCCCACTGTCTCCATTAAACAGGTCAACCAGACAAAGAACAAACAGAGAGATATCTGAATTAAACAATACCATACATCAAATGGACCTGACAGACATCTACCAAATATTCCACCCAAACACCAAAGAATATACTTTCTATTCAGCACCCCATGGAACTTTCTCCAAAATCGACCACATACTGCGGCACAAAACAAACCCCAACAAACACAAAAAATTTGAAATAATTCCATGCACTCTATCAGACCACAATACAATTAAGCCTAAAATCAACACTGGAAGAAGCCCTAGTAACTATACAAACTCATGAAGATTAAACAACACACTCTTGAATGATGAATGGGTCAAAGGAGAAACTAAGAAAGAAATAAAAGTATTCCTCAAATAAAACAAAAAGGACAATACAGCACAACAAAACCTCTGGGACACTTTAAAAGCAGTCCTAAGAAGGAAGTTTATAGCTCTAAGTACACTATTAAATTTGAAAATCTAAAAAAAAAAAAATGGTTGGATATCCAAAATCATGGGAATCACCAAAGCCAAACCAAGAAAAGATCAGCAGCTTAAACAGACTCATAACATATAAAGAAATTGAAAAAGTAATAATATTATGCATACAATATCTCCACGAGTCCATGTATATAGCTGATGGCTACATAACAAGAAACAGTGCCAGACAGGAGAAACCTTTCTTTAGAGTTGTTGGCCAGGGTAGTCCAAGGGACTCCCAAAATTACAAAAGCTATTGCAAATTATAAAATTGCAAAGTCTATTGCCACAGCCCTTGACTGCCTTCCAGAACTTGAAGGTAGGACCCTATTGCTGAAGACAGAACATACTTTGGACACAGGACTTGGAGTAATAGAACTGGACCTGACCTGGAAACCACCTCCCTGAAGGCTAGTTCTCATAGCTTTTGGAGAACACTATGCAAGCTGGTAAGGGTGAACATCCATCGATGGTCCAACACCAGATTCAAGACCAAATAACCACATCAATGACCAGCACAGCATACAACTTTGGTGCAGTAGTGGCACTTTTATCTTGGGGGCAATCAACAGCTACCTAGTTGAACTAAAAGCCCACTTAATGGGAGGAAACTCGTGTGTGGTACTGTAAACATAGCCAAATACACATGGCTGGAGAGGTCATAGATCTTAGAGAAAACCTCAAGATTGTCACATCCCTAGACTAATGTGATTTCTTACTACATATAAAATATGTATCCTTATATTTGCAGACAAATATGCTAGTCACCACTCATCAAAGAAGCTTCTTTTGCACCAGACAGAGACTATTACTTAAGTACCACAACTGGTCACACACAAACATTATCTGTGAATTGCCCAGTCCTAAGTGACACATCTGCAATGCAACTTCTACTCCTAAGGCTCATGAGACATAAAACTAGGGGTAAAGAGGACACTAATGAATATCTCAGTTCTCATTAATGAAGCTCCCTCATGCAACAGAGGCCCAGGAACACAAAAGGTCACAAATGGCCAAAAGCATAGAATTTCACAGTCTTCAGAATGCTGTTCCTTGGACAGGACTTTACATTAAACTTCACCCACCCAGGGCTCAGAGACCATTGTCAAAAAGGGGGTGGAAAGATTTTAAGAGCCAGGGAGGAGGTGCATGACCTTATGGAAATAAAAGTCCTACAAGTTCCTGGGACCCTGCTCATATGAGCCTACAGCAATGGTGTCAGCATGCACAAGATCCATGCAAACTCAAGCAGACAAAAAGCCAGCACAGAATTGGAGAAAAGGACAGCAGACCCCAATATTAGCTGAAGAAATATTGGCAACTGATTACTGCTAGGTGAGGAAGAGTTGATCATCCTAAAGTGAGGGACTCTCGATAGGCTGACTAGACCCCAGTGGATGAACTTCCAATGAGGGATGTCTGGGGACACCAACTTGACACAATAGCCCTTAAGACAAATGACAGAATGTACAAACTCCAGTGGGGGGGCTATGGGAGGGTACCAAGGGAGAAGGTGGTATAAAGATGATTAAGATTGATTGAGATGTTCTATATGAAATACACAAAAATTCAATAAAAAAATTTTAAAATAAAGAAGACCTGAGCTTAGTCCCCAGCACCCACATGGCAGCTAACAACCATTTATAACTCCAATTCCAGGAGATCCCACTCCCTCTTCTGGTCTCCATGGACTTTGCATGATACAGGTGAACTTATATACATGTAGGCAAAACACTTATACACTTAAAAAGTAAATAAATAAATAAATATCTGATTTCTTGCACTCTATTTGGTCTGATGCCAAGTGTTTACACTGAGAAAAAGCTAGTAATTTTAATGAATACCAACTTATAAAATAATACAATAAGGCTAACATTAAATAGTTTAAAAATATAAATAGACAAAGAGAAGCTTTAGAAGACATTTAGCACACCACAGGGATGAGGATCTTACAGTTCTCAAGTCAACTTCATACATAATGACTTATGAAATGAACTGTCATTTACTCACACAGACTCACTGTGACATACAAAATAGATAACAATGATATTGTCTTAAAATATTTTCAAAATCATTATCTCCTTTCATCTTAAAATACTCAGGAAGAATGGCTTCCTAGGATAAAGTAGATGTAATATTATAATTTGATATATTTTATTTATTTCTATGCCCAAGTTATTTTATTGTTACTAAGTTGTGAGGGTTTTTTTAGATTCTAGACATTAACCCTCCATCAAATAGAAGATTTTCAAATTTTTCTTATTCTGTGGGTTCTGTTTTTTATTTTTTAAAATTATTTTATTATTTTTATTTTATGTGTTTAAGTGTATTGCCTGCATATATGTAAGTGAACCCATGTTGTGATGTGCCCATAGAGGGTCAGAAGAGGGTGTTGAATTCCCTGGAACTGGTTATGGATGATTGTTAGCCACCAAGTAGGTGCTGGGAATCAAACTCCAGTCCTCTACAAGAGCAGCCAGTGCTCTTAACCACTGGGCTATCTCTCCAGCTCCTGTGGGTTCTGTTTTTGCTCTTGATCATGTCCTTTGTTACATGGGTTTTTAATTTTGGTGAAGCCCAGTTTCATGTGTTTTCCTCTATCCCATGCCTTTGCATGTATGTGAGTAGCCATCCCCATGAATACAAAGTCATACATGTTTGCACCTATGCTGTCTTCTGACAGCTTTATAGGTTCAACTCTTGAGCTGAAGTTTTGCATCATTTTGAGTTAATTCCCTGTGTACTGTGAAGGTAAGAATCTTCATTTTTTAAATGCAGGCATCCAGTGTTCATAGCATCTTTTGTTGATTTGTTGATTTGATATATTTTAGAAGTAAAAAGCTTCACTAGGGGGCTGGAGAGATGGCTCAGTGGTTAAGGGCACTGACTGCTTTTGTAGAGGACCCGGGTTCAAGTCCCAGCACCCACATGGTAGCTATGAACCATCTTTGACTCCAGTTCCAGGAGAATCTGAAGCCCTCTTCTGACCTCTGCAGCATCGCACAACATGGGTGCACTCACATACCTGCAGGCAGTACACTCACACACATTAAATAAAAATAATAAATATTTTTTAAAAAGTTTCACTAAGTATTTATAATCTTCTGTAAATCAAATAGCTCAAGTGCTTCCTAAGGATTAAAGGCATCACCCACAATTTTGGTTAAATTGTTATGTTTAAACTTAAAATCTTTAGCTGCATATTAAGAATGAATGACAACATTGCAATAAAAAGTTCACTAAAACTTGAGAGGCAGAGGCAGGTGGATCTCTATGAGTTCAAGGCCAGCCTGGTCTACATAGTGAGTTCCAGGCCAGCTGGGGCTAAAGGGAAACCCTGTTTCTAAAAAGACCAAAAAAAAAAAATTCACTAAAATAAAAATGTGGTTGAAGAGCTTGCCCTAAAATCTATAAGAACAGTAGCTAAAACTATTTTTTATTATTCCTGAATAAGAAAATATTAGTATACACCAAAGACCTACTGCCTTTGCTTTACTGCCTACTTATTTTTTAGAAATTATGGTCTTAAAAGAATTTTGGATAAGTAGTCACAAAAGAATTCAGACCAGTATAATTAAGGCTCTCCACTCTCCTCAGCTTTACTGAAACTGAGAGCAGCAGCTCCCATTTGAATAAATACAGTTCACTGTCAGAAGTTAGTGTGCAGTGTCAACACCTTGTTTTCACCGTTACAATGACCCACAGACCTTTTTAGAATCACTGCTCGGATTCCAGGCTCACTCTTGCCCCAAGTGCAGACTGAGCGCTGTCTGGCCAGCTTGAGAAAGGCATCTACCAGCTGCTGCTTCTGCCCAAGAGGATTCACCAAGTGGAAGGGCTTGGCCAGGGCTTTCAGTTCTGGGGCAGACAGGAGTTCAAGTACTTCAGAGAGCTCTTGCAACTCAGATTCTGAAATAGTAAACAACAAAAGTTAAATTATAGTTACAAAGAATTTATTAGCTAGCATTGTTTATTGGGGGAAAGAAAAGTCTTGGCTAGATACAAATAAAATTTTACCATAGAAATTGAAATTAATTTGCACTAGTTTGCCAAGAATTCCCCAAACTTCCCATTAAAGACTATGGAAAACAGACTACGAAAACAGATTTCTAGAATATATTTTCCATCATCCTCATCTCAAGACATGTGAGGAGATGTGACCAAAGTAGGTGAGAGTAAGGTGACTATCAGCCCTCCTCCCTTCAGCCCTTCCCAGCTCATGTGCTGGAACCCTACATGGGCTGTCTTCCAGCATCCTGCTATGGTGTGCCCCATATAGCACAGCAGACCATAGGTACAGGGCTGAATCAGACCCAGCTGTCCTTAGGCATTCAGATTAGAGCAGTGCCTTCCTCCACACAGCAAGTATTTACTGGGTGTGCAGTAGATGCCTGGTAATGTTCTAAGACCCTGGGGACATGGCAGCAAACCAGATCCTTGTCACAAGGTCACTCACCCCCTAACACAATAAGTAACAAGTCAGGTGGTAAGAAGTGGTATAAAGAAAAACAAAGCTGGGTGAGGCAACAGATGAGGGAGAGAGACTGGTTGCTTTACAGCAAGTGGCCACGCAAATCTCTGATGAGGACACAGCACAGAAGCAAACGTAATGAGGGATAGGCTGTGTGGCCAGGAGGTGGGCACTGTCCTATGTGGGGAAGATATTAAGTCCAAGGCTCGGAAACAAGAACACACTCAGCATGATGAAGAACACTGAAGACACTGTGCGGCTACAACAGAGGAAGAGCCTGGGAGTTGTGGTCATAGAAACAGCCACCAACCATCCATGGTGAACCATCAGGGTAAGTCTGGAAAACATGTTAATCTACAGAATCTGTATCAGATCTTCCAAGTCAAGTGGGGACTGAGAATCCTGCTGCCAGGGGGTGGGGGGCACCTGAGAACACCACTGAGGGGGAACGCTCTGCCCACCCTCAGACAAGCCTCTGCCTTGTGCCTCCATCGGCACGCTCCATCTCTGACCCACCCAGAGCTATCCTAGCAGTCACCCAACCTTTTCTTAGCTACCGTTCCACTGCAAACTCTGCCCCCACAAAGTCATTTGACATGACTTGCTTATTTGGTCACGAGTGTCAGTAACTTGAACTCAGGATGCACATCCTTCATTACACCTGTTTTCATACAGTTCGGTGCAGAAAGTGCTGAAGGAAGCTACTGAGGAGACAACCCAGGGTATCACTGCAGAAGAGATTCACTTCTACTGTTTACAGGGTCTAACCAAATTCTGCAGGCAATCAACATGTAAAAGTGGTACGTGTGAGCACAGTGGGGACAGATGTTCTTAGAGGAAAACTGATTCCAACAGCTAGCTTTACTCTGTCATGGGTATGAGTCATGCTCTTACTGGGAGGTAAGAGCTGAAGACAGTGTTTTCTTCTGTACCACATTCTCTCCCTAGGTGACTTCATGGTCCTAAACGGCAGACCATCCGTCACTGTCCTAGTGGCCTTCATCCAAGAACTCAACAGCCTTAAATCACATGAAAAATCTGTTGCCCTAAGATTAAAATACTACTACTAATAAAAGCAATCATTCTTCAGCAGCCAGCAGCCAGGAGACGGCACCACACCAGCATCACCGTCACTCTGCGCACACTGAATTCCTCAGGGCCCACTTTCCCTTCAAAGTTCCTCCTGCCAATCATACCTGTCTGGAGAAAGCCTGAGAGCTTTAATTCTTCAATCACAGGTGTTAAGTCTGGGCCAATCTCTTCATACTCTAGTTTACTCATCTTAATCCAGGTTAATTTACGTTGAAAGAGCCTCACATACAACTTTTGACCACTAGCTGTAAAAACGTTAAGAAAATTTTTGAAAAACATTACCTTTTTCTCAAAAACAACACACAGATACCATTTTTTAAAACAAGGTGAGTAAATACATATTAGTAATACAGACATTTTACTTTACGTATAATGAAGTCATTTCATGGTATAAACTGTTAAAAATTCTAATTTGGCAATGAACACAGATCATATTAAAACTTCTGAAATTAAGTTTCCTATTCCTATCCCCGAGAGAAGCCCTTCCTAGAATTCTAGATATTTTCTTCTCATTTTAGTTCAATGTACATTATGCTAATTTTGATTAAAAAGTAATCTGAATTTTCCCCTCAAATGTCTAGATTTGATCTCTGCAAACCCACTTAACCTATTTAGTCTTTTTTTCCTTGTTGCCTGAATTATCTAAAAATTTCTGCCAAGGATACAAGAGTATAACTAAATTTCTTAAATTTTAAACATTTATTTTCCTTTAAAGAAGCAAAAATCAATTAGTAATATCTATTTCCACATAAGATATATTGTATATGGCCTAGAGTGATGACCAATACCTGTAATCCCAGCACTCTGGAGGGAGAGGCAGGAGGATCAAGGTCATTTTCAACTACATAGAGTTCCAGGCCAGCTTGAGCTACATGAGACCCTCCCTCCAAAAGACAAAATAAAAAAAAAATAAATAAACCAAATTGCTGTATATGATTCTCCATGGAGTACAAGACACAAGAATATGTTGATCTTGCACTAGAGAAACTGTTCATATTTCTCAATTTGGGAGACGCACAGGGCTACCAACTACCCAAGTAGTCACATGCATATAATCAGCACCCCTCCAGGCCACTCTGCATAAAAGAGCCAATGAACATCATCATGTCATTTCATTCACTTTCTGGTGAGAAGTGCACAAGCAGAGATCAAAGTGGTGGATATACTTAATGGTGCCTAGAGAACTACTGTTCACATGTTTAAAGTTAATACATCATGCTACTGGTAATGTTAAGGGTTTTTCTTTTGTTTTTGAATGCACTGGTATGGCTACACTTTGTTTGAATACAGAGTGGCCAGCAAAGCTCTTCTTACCTCAAGGGGGGGCTGGGCTCCAGAGAGACACCACAGCCCTTGGACTAACAGTGGCAGGCACACAAGGGTGGCTTTTACTCCAATCCTGTACAACTGTCTTGGAGTCACCAGGCTGCCAAGGATTGGAGCAACAGACTAGGATTTTTTTAAATGTACCAATTCAAGCTTGCAAGTTTCCATTTCCTCCACACCCTGATCAAAAGGCAGAGTCCATTAAGCTAAAATTTGTTGGGGGAGAAAATCTGCTCCAGACTGGTTTGCTTTTCCTTCTTGAGGACATGGAATGTGAATGTGGGAAACATTTTCACAAGAAAGCTGATTACATGCTCAAAATGGAGCATTACATTTTTCCATGTCAGTGCTATTTTAAATTCTAGATGTTGCTTTACCACATCAAAATATATGTATAGAAAGAAAAACAGCTACTCTCATTATAATCAAAGTAGTGCTGTACAGCAGACATCATCAAGCACAAAAACTTGTTTTTATGACAATGTCCTTCTTGGTGCAAACCTTGTAGGAAGTCCATTCCTATGAATATATCCAGAGTACTCACAAAACCAAGTCCTAGTTAAGATCTAAAATTACCCCTCTTAAAAAAGGAAAACTTGACTATTCCAAATTTGACTGCCTCCTGGTGGCCATTAGATTACTGCCACTTACATCATACAAAATCAGGACAGCAAATTAGAGAAAAGATGGAAAGCAAATGGGCTGGATACCTGATAACTGATAAAACCTAGTAATGATTCCTTTCTCCTGCTCATCAAAGAGCATCATATCATCTTCGTTCTGAAGCACAGCCTGCAGCACCATGAGGAAGCTCCTGAGGTAGTAAGGGTGGGTGGCTGGTATTTGTGTTGTCTCACCAGGAAAGTCACAGCCTGACCCCTGCTCCAGAGAGCTGCAAACCATTTCTTTCTTTAGGTCACTGTCACCTTCCGGAAGTTCTTGGGTGTTATTCCATTTAGAAATCTCCTCTGTGGTACTGTGAGACTCTGCTTCATTATCTGACAACTGTGTTGCGACCTCTGAATCAACCATCATTTCCACTTCTTCAGAACGCTGTGTCTCCTGTTTGGCAACCTCATCATCTACTACATTGGCAGTCTCTTGCTTTACAAGACTGTCTCCTGAAGTAGACTGCATGCTATTCCCAATAGTTAAATCTAGTGAAAATAACACAGGAGCATTGGCGGAGGAGGCAGAAGTGAGGGCTGACTTCTCCTGGGCAGACTTTTGCCTTTCCTCTTTCATCGTTTTACTGCTTTTTATGTTATGTTCTGGAGCATTCTCTTCCTTTAGAGACTCACGTGCAAGAATGTTTTCCTTTTGAGAACTGCTCAAAATTTCATCCTTGTCCTCTATCTCTGAACAGTTATCAACCAGACTCCTGCCAGTTGGGGACATGGAACTCTGTGGACAATGACTGGCCAATTCCTCATTCTTATCTAGTGACTTTTTAGCTTTTATATATTTTCTGGACAATTTAGATGACAGGCTTCTCAAAGAAATTATTTCCACTCTCGGATTTTGTAGCTCATCTTGATTTTTGCATACCAAGGCATCTTTAAAGTAGGGACTGGTCTGCTGTGTTATGCCCAGCTTTGAACCACTCTGATAGGGGGTTAAACTCCTCGGTGGTGACAGCTTCTGCAGTGCCATGTCTTTTGAGGCAACAATGGGCACCTCTGGATTCATTAAGCTAACCTGTACAGGGTCAACTTGATCATCACCACTGTGGGCACACATCTCATCAAGGTGTCTGTTTAAGTCATACCTGGGCACCATCTTACTACAAACTGGGCATGCAAGTTTAGCAGGTGGTGCACTGTTAAAAAATGACATAATAGAATGAGATCTTTTTTTCGTAGTGTTGACGGTAGATAAACTTCTACGGGGTCTTTTTTTGTCAGGTAATTTCTCTTGCGACATCATGAATGTCACCCAGAAAAAGTGAGTGCCTGCAGAAAAATCTCAGGCTACCTAAGGTAGCAATACTTTACGTTTACTCTCTTGACTTCATTAATAAAAAGTGGTGGCTACCCAGGGGGACAATAGCAAACGTTTACTTTCATTCTCGACTTGAACTAATAAGATGTCAAGTAGTGTTGGGTCTCCTTATTCGTTTGGACAATTTCGCCTTCCTATAAAATAAAACACATGAGGGTTGAAAACATTTTTATGGTTTTATGGGGCGGGGACAACTAAAAGGTGGACTGGAAAGGTCTCCAAGAATGAGGGGACCCTGGGTCCCGGGAGCGCTGCAGCTGCGCGGTTTGTGTCCCTTCCAGTATAATGACCCAGCTGGACCTAGGCCAAGTCCTAGTTAAGATCTACAATTACCCCTCTTAAAAGAGGAAAATTTGACTATTCCAAACTCTCCTGAACTCACTGCAGCGGCACTTTCCCACGGGGCCGGGGCTTCATGCTCACGTCGCAGGCATCAGAGGGAGCAGGAGCCGACCGCTTTGGGTGAGCCACTGGCCACGCGGCCCGAACCCCAGGTGCAGCCAGGAGCCTGGGTTCTCGCAGCCTCCACCCGCTCCGCGTGCTGCAGGCATTCCCAGCCGATCCCCGCGTCTCCACTCCTCAGGCCTGGCAAGTCGAGGCCAGAGTGATCGATCTCCTCAGCATCTGGCTTTAAAGACTTCCTAGCAAGCTAGTAGAGGCTAGTGCTGGCTGAACCCTGGAGGGAGACCTGGGTGGGTCCTTCCTTCCTCACTTGTAGGAGGCAGAGGGTCCAGTACACCCCTCTCTGCTGCTGGGTAGAGAGTGAGAGGGGGAAAGAGAGAAAGAAAGAAAGAGAAACAAAAGGGATGGGGGGAGAGAGAGGGAGGGAGGGAGGGAGGAGGAAGGAGGAACCTTAGCCCAGTTAACCAAAAGAAAGAGAAAATCCAAATCAACAAAATCAGAGATGAAAATGGATCAGGGCATCAATGTACCTGCTCGGCTGCAAGTATCTCATATTGTATTGTAAGAACTAAGTTCTATTATCCATAAATCACCTGAATTTAGTTACTTCACAGCCCCAGAAAATCCTTGCTTAATCTAGCCTCATATAGCCTAGTTCTATCCTGCTATAGCCATCAACATTAATAAAGAAACCTAAACCAGATCTTCAACAGTGGGATTGGCCTTTGCAGATGAAAGCAAGCCTCCCCACCTGCTGAGTCTTGTTCTCTACCCATCTGGAATAAGGCTGTCTATTTTTCCATCAAGTCATGACATTCTATCAAAGGCATTTTCTCTGATTGGGAAGTCTGAACAATGGGCACCTGGTGGTCACAGATGACTCTGAAGACTGCAGGTCCATGTTCTGGGCTGTTGAGCTTCTGTTGCTCCTGGATTCCCTTTTAGAGCATGCCTGCCCTCTCTTATCTATGGACCATCCTGTCTAGCCTATGCCAATCCTTTATTCAGGCATCAAGATTTTCCAAAGGGTCAAGAAGTGCTGTTTTGAAATGACATGATAGTAGATGAAAATCAAGATCTCAGAAAGGACTACATAGACAGCTGGTTGTGAGGAAGGTAGCTGGCTCTGGGGTTACAGAAAAATTCTTCAAACAGCTAAGAGACTGAGCCAAGGAGTCAAAAAGCTCCTTTATTCTCAAGTGTGAGGTCCCAGAATTAGCAACTAAGGCTTTTAGATTTTCTGGGCCCCAGACAGTACAGCTGGAGATTAAATAGGTATTTTTACATCATTTAATGGCTAGCACCTGGGCTCTGTGTTACACAGCTTACAAAGTAGATATCCCAGGCATGGGTCAGGATATCTGTTGCCTTTTGATCTATAGCTAGGCCTAGCTAATTGGGCTAGGAATCAGTCAAATGGTCTCTGCAGATTATAAAAACAGGTATCACTAGCAAAAGTTTAGGTATCTGTCACATTTGATCTATACTTCTCTCGGACTAATTGGACCAGGTACCTCATTAAACAATTTGGTGAACTTTCTATTCACTTAGTTTTACATTTTCGTCAACAGAGTGGAAAACCTCACTGAGCTTCAAGATATTCAAGTAATAAATACAACATCTCAGGGTAGTGAAAACATCACAGAGCAATGAGACGTCATTGAATAGTAAAGCCTCCCAGGGTTACATTTCAAGGTATGTACCTAGTAAGTGAAACAAAACTACAAAGCAGTCTAAGCTCAAAATATTATATATGAATAGAGAAAGTTAAAAGAATATAACTTTTCCTTATCTCTGGGTCCTTTCAGATTGCTGACCTGGCCTTCACACAGGCTGGGACCATTGTGATACAGTGGGGTCAGATCAGTTGCATTAATGTGGGAAAGGGTTGGGGAGCTGAGATCTGCTTCACACCTGGAGAAACCCAGATGGGCTTTCTTTTTGTGTTTATTTGGGGGCCTTTGTTGTTGCTTGTTTTAAAGACAGGATCTAGTTTACCTCAGGCTAGCCTCAAATTCATGATGCAGCTAAGGATGAACTTGTACTTCCTGACCCCTAGTCTCCACCTCCAGAATGGATGGGATTATAGGCATCTGCTGATGAGCCCAGCCATAGACAGGCTTTCCAAGTACAGTTTAAAGCTTGCCACTGCACTGTGAAGTCTCAAATAGTTGCCATCAGGCGAAGATTGTCTTTAAAATTTTATTATACAAAGGAATAAGGACAAAAGCTTACATATATACATTAAATTCAGAATATATTACAGCTTTAGTTTATGAACAGAAATATCCTGTTTTTTCTTCTTTTTCTTATCTGGTTGTTTTGCATCATTAATCTGCATTTTTACTTGATCTTGTAATTTAGAAAAGAATGCTTGAGATGACTTTAAGGCCTTATCTTTCCGTTCATCCTGCAATTAAAAACAATACATACTCATATTAGAAAGCATGCTCATGTGAAAAAACCCAAAGTATAATAGTACATTATGATTACAACAGTACAGAAATGTAAAACATAAAAACCACTAGGAGTCCAAAAAACTTAAATCAGCTACTATAAGAAATATACTCAATTGTTACAACATTCTTATATTTTAAGAAGGGAGACGAAAACTTGGTGCCAGGCCTTGGTTATTTTAAGAGTCTATAGGAAAGCCTGCAGTGTGCTAAAGGCCACCAGCTAGTAGTATGCCCTTGGACCTCACAGGTGGCTCTCATACCCCGGTTGGGCTATAGCTCAAAGCATGCCATCCCTCCCCACACACACCCTCCCCAGCACTTCCCCCCCCTTACCTTTAATAAGGACACTTTGCCCGTTTTAGTCAACTGTTTCAACTTCTCTGAAGCTACTGCTCTGGCGAATTTCCCAGTTTGCTTTGTGTTGTACTTTTCAAGCAATTTTCTCCGCTTCTCCTTCTCCTTTATTTTCAAACGCTTCAGATATTTCTTTTTCCTCCGTTCTCGTTTCTTGTCTGTAGCTGTTTTCTCAGCAGATGTTTTTAGATCTCCAGCTTTATTTTTCTCCTATTAAATAGCAACCACCAACATAGTAGTTAACCCAACCTAATATCAAGTGGGGGACTGAGAAGAATTACTCACCAAATGGCCAATGGACTGTGCCTATAGTCCAGTGTCTGAGGGTGCAGAGCAATCCCCACCTAGTTCCAAGGGGCTTTGGTAACTCTAAGACCTGTCCTGCGTTCTTTGCCAGAACAAACTCAAGAGTGACAGTTTATTCCCCAATGAATTCACCAAGAGCTAGTTTCTCAAGCCAGTAAGTACTAGCCAGCAGGCCTGCTCCAACACAGGCTTCTTGATGGGTTCTAGGACATGCCTAAGGCAGTCCTGGCTCTATGCTGTGACTAACAGCCCCTGTGTTTTGGTCAGGGGTTCTCAAACATCAAGGAACAGAGGGAGCAGGGAAAGCTCTCTCTAGTGAGAACTGATTTCCTCCTTTCTCCTGAGTTACCAGCCCATTCTTCCAGGCTAACGCCTACATGAGGTGGCAGAGGCTCTGACAGAAGTTGTGGCTGTGGATATTAACAAAGCAGGTAAGAAAGAGTCAACACTAAGCCAGCAGAAAGGACATGGGCCTGTCAGAAACCATCATCTCTGTATAAAGCATGAATTTCCATGTTCATGAGTCATAGACTACCAATATCTGGTATATTCAACATCTTCCAATGTCTAAAAGAGCCATTCTATTTTAGATGTCACTGCTGATGAGCTTTATATTACACATTATGACTATTATGGACAAAATCATAGGAGGGGTGATAATATTAAAGTATTGCTAAATTCTCATAAGATTTTAAAACAGAGTATTTAAAAACTTTTCTTTCTTTTTTTAGAAAATGTTTTATTTAGTGGTAAGTATACCTGTGTCATGCAATGCCTGCAGAAGTTAGAAGAGTATATTGGATTCCCTGGAACTGGAATTACAGACAACTATTAGCTGCTATGTGGTTGCTGGGAAGTGAACCCAGGTCCTCTGCAAGAGCAGTCAGTGCTCTTAAATACTGAACTATCTGTCCAGCCCTTAAAAAACTTTTCTAGTAATCCTTATAACTGCAACTTTCAATAATGCTTAAAAATAGAAGATTGGTTTTTAAGTATTATATAACTAATGATTTGTTTCATTATGTACACATTCATATCCAGAGGATCAGTTCCAGGACCCTGCAGATACTCCAGGTTCCTTCCTGTATGCTCAAATTCCTTTATATAAAATCAACTATTTGTATAACCTACACAATAGTCCATACACTTCAGATTGCCGCTGGATTACATTAAGACCTAGTTAACACTGACTGTTCTTGCAGAAGACCCGGGTTCAAATCCCAGCACCCACATGGCAGATAACAACTGTCCACAGCTCCAGTTCCAGGGGCTCTGACAGCCTCTTCTGTCCTCCGCAGGCACTGCACTACATAGGTGCACTTACTTACATGCAGGTATAATACTCATACACATAAAATAAAATAAAATAAAAAATACAAACTCAAGGAAAATAAATAAATAAAATAAATGCAGATCTGGCTACAGTGAACTAACTTGCAAGGAGACCCCAAAGATTTCCACACTAGCTTCTTACCTTGATTTCCTCTGGGGCCAGGAGGGCTGCATCACTGACATTCACTGGGGCTACTTCTTCCATGGTTATGGCTGGTAGATTCGATACAACTTTAATTTCTGGAACAGGCTGGAAAGAGGATAGTGCATTTAATAGGAAGTAGGAAGTGGTCCTAACATCATGGAATTCTCTGTGAAGATTCGTTAAAACATCAGTGTGCTGACAGTCAAGGTCTCCAGCTGACTGGCATGGCAACATAGGTAGGCCTAGAGCCTTTTGTCTCCAAACGATTCCGACAGCATTTATTCTACAATCTGCATATTTGTTACATGCAAACATTTCCATATGTCGCCTTTATGGACATTCTCAAACAATCCATCTAATTAGTAAGATATATTAATTTGTTGAATCATCTTGCTTTATAGAAAAAAGCTAGCTCTCTTAAGAAATATATAAAAAATGCCTATGAGGAAAAAGAGTAAAAATATAGATTACTAAATAAACAATTCCACCTACACTCTGGGTGTAGTGGCCCATGCCTTTCATCCCAGCACTCAGGAGGCAGAGATAGGTGATCTCTCTGAAGCCAGCCTGGTCTACATAGTGAATTCCATGCCACCTGGGGCTACAGGGAGACCCTGTCTCAAAAACAAAACAAACAAACAAACAAAACCCCCGCCCAAAACCAATTCCAGCTACTAAAGTCTTCTCTTTCTTTAAAAAAAGTTATTATTTTTATTTTATGTGTATGAGTGTATTGCCTGCAGTGCACCCATGTTGTACAATACCTGCAGAGGTCAAAAGAGGCATCAGATCCCCCGGAACTGGAGTTATAGATGGTTGTTAGCCACCATGTGGGTGGTGGGAACTGAACCCAAGTCCTCTGCAAGAGCAGCCAGTGCTCTTAACTGTTGAGCCATCTCTCCAGCCCCAGAAGTCTCTCTTTTAAACATTAACAAGAAATGGTATGGGATCTAAAAACAACTGTATCTGGTAAGTATAAAAAAGGAGAAGGATATACCACCAACTGGAAGACTTTTTTGCTATGCTTCTTTTTTCTTTAAAAACAGATTTCACAATGGACATGGCAAATACTTAATTCACGCTTACACTGGCGTTCTTCACAGCTAATTCTTGTGAATCCCTGTGTACAGATACAAGGGATGGAGAGCAGAGGAAAATGACTTCAACTCCTGTTGTCAGAAAGGGGAAAGGCTAAGGTGTAAGAAATGCAGGACTGAGACTTAGACAGCCAGGCCCGTACCCACAGCATGTCACTGATTCCTCTGCCAGTCACTTCCCTTCCTAATCCTATTTTTAGTTGATTAGAGTTGCGTTAACTTTTCCTGGAGAGATGTGAACACATATGCATGTACCCAAGATAGGGCATTAAAAGTAGCACAAAGAAACAATTTAACTCAAGATCAGCTTGATGAACCATTGAGTTTAACTGGGGTCACTTACAAGAACATGGGCAACTTACAGGCAGCTTCAGCAATGAAGAAAAGTCATGTGTTGTGTTCTGCAACCCAGTCAAGCATCCTAGCCACTTTATATCCTCAGGGAATAGCAGGCCACTCCTGTAGCTGCCTCATGCACCTCCCTCCCCTCCATGAGGGTATGTCAGTGGGCTCAATCTTGTGAGGGGGCTGGTATGGGTAATGACAGCTACTGTCATTTCAAGATAGCAATGCCCAAGCCATTCCCAGAGAACAGTGTTCCATAACAACCTGTGAGTTATATGCCCCAGAAAACTTCACAAGAACAAAAACAAGTGAGAAACATGATAGGATCCTAGATTCTCAGTAAGAGAAAAATGTGGAGTGTGGAAAAAAAAAAATTACTTCTTCCAGTGGATCACTATTCAGTTATTTACAAGAAACACTGTGCTCCAGCCTAAAATTTAATGAGAAATAGAGAAAACGGAATTAGTCCCTCTGCCAAATCAAAACAAAAAGACAGCTAAATGGTACAGAGAATCTGCAGAGACTGTGTGAAATACAGACCTGAATATGGAAAAAAAGGACTATTAAGGAGGACCTGTAATAAACTTTGACATTTCTGAAGAAGAAAAAAGGCTTTTAAATTAGGGCAGAACTAGGAAGATGGCTCAGTGGATAAGAGTGCTTACTGTGAATGAAAGGATCTGAGTTCAAATCTCCAGTACACACATAAAAGCTGGGCATGTCTACAGTGCCTTTAAACCTAGCATTGGGAGTGGAGACAAGCAGATCCTGGGAGGAGCTCACTGGCAAACTAATCCATCTGAAATGGTGAGTTTCAGATTCAATGAGAACTTTTTTCAAAGAAATAAGGTAGAGAGGCCAGGCATGGTGGCACAGGTCTTTAATCCCTGTACCTGGGAGGCAGAGGCAGGCGGATCTCTGTGAGTTCAAGGCCAGCCTGTTCTCCATAGTGAGTTCCAAGTCAGCTGTGGCTACAGGGAGACCCATGTATGTAGCAATGAGGGACAAATGAATGTGAAGAGGCGATGACAGACTGCTCTAAATAATGGGAAGCAAGGGATGGGAAGGCACAGCCTGGGAGAGGAAGAGTCATTCAAAGAGGGAAAAGCAGCCTACTGAGCAGAAGTGCATAGTAAGGAGTCAGGAAAGGAGGGACTTAGCCTGCTCAAAGAACCAGAGGAGCAATGTGGCTGGAGATAACAAGCTACAGATGCCATGGGGCAGGAGTTGGAGCCAGACAATTCAAGACTGTGAAGGCCAGGGAAAGGCTCAGAGCCTCCCCATCAGACTTTCACAGTAACACCTGCCTGCCAAGATGGGTTGACAAATTCTACTTGTCTGCCTGTTCACTTTAGTTAACTCTGAGCACTTCTGATACAAAAAGGGTTCTTGCCATCGAAAACTCATTTGTAAATAAAACCTGATTAAAATTCAGATATATATGTGATAAAAACCTTACTGTCTGTTGAAAACAGGAAAAGTCAAGTAGCCATTACCAAATCAAAAAGGATCCTGGATCTCTTCTGTACAAATGAGAATCTGCCTAAATCACAAAGTAAATTGGGAGCAGAAGCAGACTCAGCTTCTGACTTCTAGATTAGTCTCCAGCTCATGGCATTCAGATACAAGAGATACCAAAAGGCAACATGTGAGCAAGCATCAACAGATGGCTCCAGCCTGCTTTATAGAACCACAGATGTTGTTGAGATGGAGTTTCATGGAGTAGGTATAGTCTCAGCCCAACTGGGTAAGACTCAGATAGGGAGAGGACTAAGAAGTCTCCTAAGATGTCTCAGGCTGGTCAGAGCACCTCAGACAGTGGAGACAGCATGGACCCAGTGTCAGTTTTGACCCTCCTACCTCCTAAGTTTCAGGTTCCTTATCTCCAAAATGGAAATAGTAATACCTGTCTTAGTGTTTTGGGTAGTAAGAGTTAATGTAAACAAAGGACCTAATATGACTTGCCACAGGTAATCAACGCAAGATACAGACATTCACAGTCTCTGTAGCCACTGTGTAATTAAAACACAACTAAGAGGGTCAGGAAAGGAAGAATGGCTGAGGCCCAGAGGTAAAGGTAGGTCAAGAGTTCACTGGATATCAGGTTGCAGTAGTAAGGAGAGTCAAAATCAACCAGGAACAAGAAGTAATCCTCCATCACAGAAGCTCTGCTTATAATTTACAGGGAATTACAGGAGGTTTGTGTTCTGACACCAATTGAAAAGCTAGTTTATAAGAACTCAGGGCTATTAAGTCAATATCTGCACAACTATACGCTGGACTATTAACACACTTACTGGTTTAGGGATGAAGTGGAAGTTTGACAGGGCATCCAATTTTAGGAAGAGAGAATCCATCATCTTCTGAATCTCTACATGCTCTGGATTTTCTTCTTCTTCAGTTTTTTGCTAAGAGAGTAAGGTCATCATCAGACTAAGATGCTTAATACTGTGTCATGAGATAAAACACTGCAGGCCAATGAGGGTACCACATATCTCAATACCACACAGCCTTAGCTACAAAGGTGCATTCCAGCTAGGTATTGTGGTACTGCCTTAAACATGAATACTCAGGAGGTTGAGGCAAGGGTACTACAAGTTGAACACTAGCCTGGATTACATAGCGGTGCTTTGTTTCAAGGGGGAGGGGTGGTATGTTCCAAAAGCAAAATTAAAGACCTCAGTACCACAATGGTGCTGGTGCCTACAAAAAAAACCCCATGAAATGTACACTTTGGTATGGTACCTCTGTCATTCAGAACAGTTTAATTCCCTTGGTATTAGTATTCCCTTAGCTCTGTCAAGAACTAAGCTATTCCCACAAGGATCACCAAATTTAAGGAAAATTAACAAATCTTCGTGAGAGGACACAGAGATCGGAACCTTGTGCATTATCACTAGGAAAGTAAAATGATGTAACCACAATGGCAGCCAGTTTGGCACTTCCACAAGAAGGTTAAGCAGTTAGCATTTTCTCTCCTAGATGTGCACCCAAGAAAACTAAATATAGATAAATACACATACACAGCACTATTTGTAATACCCAGAAAGCAGGAACAGTCCAAATGTTAATTGACTGATGAAGGAATAAAGAAACCACGGTACATATATAAATGGATTATTCACCAATAAAATAAAAATATGCCTGTCAGGAAAACACTATGTTAAAATGAAAGAAATCACATATTGTGTGACTTCACTAATCTGAAATGTGCAAAATGGGCAAATCTATAGACCTAAAATGTGTGGAGGTGGAGTGAGGGAGGAACAGGAAGCGGCTGACTGATGAGCTAGGGTTTGGGGAACTACCAAGAGGCACTACTTACACAAGACTGGACTAAGCACCTTCAAGTTACACATTTCATTCACCTATTTGTCTTTAGTGTTTTTGAGACAGGGTCTCACTCTGTAGTCCAGGACTACCTCAAACTCATGATCACCCTCCTTAGCCTTCTGAGAACTGGTTTAGGCATGTACCCCCATGCCTGGCTTGAATTGTTTACATCAAAATTGTTAATTCTATATTACATCAATGTAATTTGTTAAGGATTTATTCAGATTAATCACATTAAAATGAAAATGACATTTTAATTCTATTAAGAACAGGTAAGTTTTATACTTGTTTTTTTCCCCTGCTCCCAACTGTGTACTCTAAGACAGTGTTTGGTCTGCTTGGTTTTTTGCTTTGCTTTGTTTTAAGAAATGGAAAGGAAAGAAATAGGGGCAGGAAGTGACTGGTTCTTTACATCTGTGGCCCAGGTCTCAGGTAGCATGCCATCAGCTCCACCTCTAGCTCTGTCTAGGCCCTGTGCTACTACTGCTGCTTATTTCAACTTCGTTCACTTAAAAAAAAAAAAATCCCAAAGCTAGGTGTGGGTGGTACATGACTGCAATGCCAGCTACTCAAGAAGCTGAAGCAGGAGGATCATTTGAGCCCAGTTGTTTAAGATCAGTCTGAAAAAGAAAGACCCTGACTCGAGAGGAAAATAGAGAGAAAGAAAAAGATCCTAAAGACTTCCTTTCCACTAGCCCAAGGCAATAGTATCTATGAAGTCACATATTCGACATGATCTTCCTGATCACATATACTCAGCTGTAAGGCTCATTCACGTGCTGCCTTATTACAATACTCATGTAGAGGCACTAAACTTCAGGGGAAAAAAAAAAAAAATCGAACATTACCTCCAGACTCTCTCTCCTAATAGAAATGGTCTAAAATTAGCCTAGCTAATTAATACACTCAAACTCCAAATCCATACCCCAAAACTCAAGAGAGGAACAAAATTAACATTTTAAGAACTGGCATAAGTTATGCAATTAATTAATTTTTAACTTGCATCATCAAATTCTTTCTGTACTTACTAAATCTCCTCAAAGCAGTCATATGTACACTCAACAAACACTGACTTAAGCTGAACACATCATCCTTCAACTACCTGGGTGCCAAGGCAGCCAAAAATTTGGATTCATATCTGGCCAGTCCGTCCACTTCACAGGGGCATTAAGGCACTGCTGGTTGGTGGTGCTGGAGAGCAGCCGACATGATTTTTGTAGATTTAAATTGCTACTGCATCTCCAAGCACATACTGACCACATCCCAATAAATCCAATGTGAGGAAATATTAGTCTTGGGAATGTGAGCCTGTCCTATTTAGCTAGAGATTACTTTTAGAACAAAACAAACGAATGAAAAAGTACCTAAAGATCAATATCGTTTCATAAATGTAAAATATAATCCCAGCACTCGAGAGGTACAGGCAGGTGGATCTCTGCGAGTTTGAGGCCAGCCTAGTCTACATAGTAAGTTCCAGGCCAGCTGGGGGCTACTGGGAGACCCCGTCTCAAAAAGACCAAAAAATAAAATAAAATAATAAAAATCAAGAACCTCAAAACATCAGGGAGGATTTTAAAATAATACTACATAGCAATTGCTAGAAAGTCAACAACCGACTGTACACACAAAAGCTTACCAATGTCTAGTCATAGAATAAGCCCTGACTCCCTCATTCAGTGGGAACATTATAATCCCTCAACTCCTAGCATGCACTGTCCCACAGTTAAATGAGATGTTTGGGAGCGCAAGGTAGATTTCAGATTTCAGGCCTCACTTCTGTTCCTTTAGTAGTAATGGCTTTGCCTTGGGGGTGGCCTTACCTGGTTGAGTTTGATATATTCTTGCTCATATATTTCAGCAAGGCTCAACTTACTCTTCTCGTGGTCTAAAGTTAGACGCTTTTTATATTCATACGCTTCCTCTTTAGGTTTTTCTTTTCTTACAACATCATCCCAAGCCTGAAGTGCAAAGAAGTCAAGAAAATTAGACACATTTCTATGCTTAGTAAAATCAGCAGGGTTTTGGTTGCACATGTCTTTAATCCTAGCACTCAGGAGGCAGAGGCAAGCGGTTTAAGGCTAGTCTGGTCTACAGAGTGAGTTCCAGGTCAGCCAGAAGCAGGTGGATATCTGTGAGATGGAGGAAAGCCTGGTTCACACAGGAAGTTCCAGATCAGCTACAGATATAGGGAGACCTTGTCTCAAAAAAAAAAAAAAAAAACCAAAAATGATTATTTGGGGCTGAGAATGCAGTTCAGTTAGTAGAGTGCTTGTCCAGCATGCATGAAGCTCTGAGTTCAATCCCTAGTCCTTCCTAAACAGGGCATGGTGGCATAAGCCTATAATCCCAGCACTTGAGAAGTGGAGATAGGAGAATCAAAAACTCAAGGACATCCTCAGGCTATTTAGTGAGCTCCAGGCCAATCTGAGGTACTTGAAACCCTATCTCAAAAATTAAAGGTGATTATTCAGGTCACAAATAAGAAGCATGATGAAAAGCAAGGTCATTAACCCAAATATTCTTTTGTGCCTTTTTATAAAATCAGAACAATTCCTAAAAAAATTCTTTGTTAAGTCAACATCTGAAAAGATACACCCTTGATTTATTACAGTAGTTAAGTGTGCCTATACCAAGGAAGGGTCCCAGATGTCGCCAGAGCAAGCAAGATACCCATGATTAACTCCACTCTCACTGCCCAACCAGTCAACAAGATTCAGAAGAGAAGTTACAGGCAATGGCTTCCGAGACGTTATAGGCAACAGCTTCCGGCCACCTCACCTCACAGGCACGATACTTTCTTGGATACATATGAGCAAAAAGCAGTGCTTTATACAGTGAAGGAGAAAATACCCTGCATCCAATCTCAAGGCTTGTAAGTGAAGAACATCAAGTAGAAATGAAGACAACAGTGATAAACCAAGTATAAATTATAACTTAAAATTGCAGTGGAAATTAAATTAAAATCTGACCTGATCTTGTATCCTCTGTTTGATGATATCTTCTAGATGGAGGGTGGTTTCTTCTGTGATCACGGGGGCTAAAAGAAGTATTACGTATATTCATTAGCAATATATACACTAGACCCAGTATTCTCAAATTATGATTGGACCCAAAACATAAGCAATACCTGGGAACTTATTAAAAGCAGAAATTCTTAGGCCAATCCTATACTTCCTAAATCATAAAGACCAATCCCCCCCCGTCTCTCTCTGTGTGTGTGTGTGTGTGTGTGTGTGTGTGTGTGTTTTGAAATAGAGTCTCATGTATCCCAGGTTGGCATCAAACTTGCTAGTAGCCTCAAGATGACTTTGAACTTCTGATCTCTCTACCTCCACCTCTCAAGTGCTGAGATATATGCCACTATACCTGGTTTCTGCAATGCTAGGGATCAAATCAGGAATTGGTACATGCTAGGTAAGCACCCTACCAACTGACCCAAATCCCTATTCCTATCTGGGTTTCAATAAGCTCGTTGATGTTCTAGAATATGGTATGTGGCTACTACTTCCATCCCATACACCTGGGGACTCGCTCCTTTTCACCTTACAGAAATAAAATAGAAACTCATTTGAATTTAATGGGCTTAAGAAAGAATTTGATAAGATGACCAGGGCTTACAATTTAATTATGAACAATTTAATTAGGGAACTCTGACATGATACAAACCTTATGAAAAAGCACTGTAAGAAATTTGACTTGGGACCATATATTAGGCTTCATTATTCTATCAGTTGAGTTTCATAGGTGGATTAATGGTACTGTGCTCGTAAAGAACGTCCTGTTCTTAGAAGATACAGGTAAAAGTTTTTAGCAGGAAGTATTATATTGCCAATTTTCCTTTTGTGTGTATGTGTATGTTTGTGTGCACATGTGCCAAGTGGAGGCCAGAGGTCAACGTCAAGTATCTTCTTCAAACACTCTCCACCTTATTTACTGAGCAAGGTCTCTCACTGAACCTACAGCTCATCAATCTGGTGAGATTAGCTGGTTGGCAAGCTCCATCATCCTACCTTCTCCACCTCAGTGAAAGGATTACAGTTTTGTGTGTGGGTGCTGGGGTTCCAAACTCAGGTCTTCATGTTTGCACAGAAAATACTAACTGAGCCATCTCCCTAGCCCCTGGCAACTTACTATTAATGATTGAGAGGACATACACACACACACACACACACACACACACAATCACAAAGATGCACAGCAGACAGAAGGCAAAGACAGCAAGCTGTTACAAACTGATGAATTCAGTTACATCACATACAGATATTTACTGTACTATTTTTCAACTTTTCTGTATGTTTCAAAATGTTTAAATAAAAAGCATGGAGAAAATTATTACTCAGAATCTTTCTGGAACACAACCACAGATAAAGCATAAAGACAAATACGATGCGGAAGCTCAGCTGGCACCATACCCATCCGCACAGCATGGTCAAAGTGGAGGGTCTCTTCCAGCAGGCTGTTCTCTGGCCGCTTCTGCGCTGTCACTTCCCCTTGAAGCTGCCAAGGTTTTTTTTCCAACAACAGTTTTTCCAAAGATGCTATTTTTTCATTCATCTAAGAAACAGAAGATATTCTGAAATGCCATACTTATAATGTATTATAACATTCTAAGGTAATTTTTGTTTGGACTATTGGCATTTGATGGAGCCTGACTCTCGACTCCACAAATTTTTTTTATCTCAAATCTCTAAAAGATAATTTAAATATTTTAGTATATACACTACTAGTTTTACCAGCTATTTTACAGAATTCTCTTTTCTTCTAATAGCTCTTTTTTAACATTTTATTATTTTACGTGTATGCATTTATTGCCTACATGTATGTAAGTGCACCCATGCCATGCGGTACCCATGGAGGACAGAAGAGGCTGTTGGATCCCCTGGAACTGGAGTTAGGACAGTTGTTAGCTGTCATGTGGGTGCTGGGATTCGAACCCGAGTCTTCTGCAAGAACAGCCAGTGTTCTTAGCCACTGAGCCATCTCTCCAGCCCCCAATTTTTCTTCTACTAGCTCTTCTGTCCATGTTTTGTTTATATAGTATCTTCTGCAAATATTGTTTTCACTTTACCCTTTTTGATCCTTTTCTTTTGTTGCTACACTAACATACCTTTAAAAAAAAAAAAAAGGTTAAATAGTTGGAAATTTTAATAGTGGACCTTTTGTCTTAATTTTAAAGGGATGTTTTTAGAATCTGGCCATTAACTATGATTGGCAGCTTTTGACCTGATGTATTTACACAGTGCATGCCTTTAATCCCAGCACTCAAAAGGTAGAGGCAGGTAGATCTCTGTAAAGATTGGGGGGTTTAAAATCTGACATACATAGAGCTAATCATGTTGTTTTCCTCAACTTCTTAAGACTAAGAATTAAATTCAATTTCCTAACGTCGAATTAAAAGAATGAAGCCCATATGATTGTGTGACACTGTTTTCTTATGGCATCATTTTGGCTTCTTATATCACTACTCAAATAGGACAAAAGATTGTGGGTACTTACAAGCTAGTCAGATTTAGCTTTTCCTGTTCATAAGTTTTGCTTAATTTTTTTATGTAGGTATTGATCTATTTCTTAAAGGTCTGGTGTAACTTCAGTAAAACCAACTCTTTTTTGGAGGGGTAGGCAGGCGTGAGGTGGGAGAGCACTAATTCATTATAAAGGTATTTTCTTTAGACTGCCTAACTCTTCTAGAGACGCTGACAATCCTGTATAATTCTTTGGATGATCCTGATATCTTTCATAGTCTGACTGTTTTCATTTCTGTGTAATATAATTTTAAGATGAATAAATGATAGAACCAAAGGACGGACACCAAACTAAAGCTATTAAAATTGCATATCATCTGACAGCAGTATTTTAAAGAGATGCATCTCCTAGAGCAGCTGTAACAGTTACAAAAGCATCACAGGATGGCTAAGCAGGAGAGACATGCCACAGACAAGAAGACATTAGGCACAGAGAAAAGAAATAAAGTTTTTACATCTGGCCCACAAATAAAAGCTATAGGCTAGGAAATGGAGGCACTGAATTTTACAAAATGTAAGACGCTTTCCATGTAGTATTTATATACAACATATACAGTGTTTTTATTCTTTGTTTTATAAGACACGGCTGACTACGCATGTACCCCAGGCTGGTCTTGAACTTGGAAGACCAAGTAATCCTGTCTCATCCCCCAAGTGCTGGGATGCATGCACCACGCATGATATTTGGATCAGTGCACACAATCTTTAAGGAACAAAAGCTCTGCTTTTAAGAGTAGCTTAGTTTGTGAGTTTCCGTAATGTTAAACATACAAAAGTATTATTAATTACCTTCTCCTGTCTTTTTTCAAAAGAGGATTTAACTTCACCAGAGTCTTCCTTTACATTTAAGATATCTGCACCTTCAGTTTCCTCAGCATCTGGCAAAGCAAAGGTCACTCTTTTCAAGCCTTCTTTGTGTTGTTTACTGTCCTCACTTTCTTCAAGGTCACTATCTTCATCCCTATAATACCAAAATGTTTATCAAAGGGAAAACATTACAATCCATTAGGAATACAAAAATAAATATTCCTATTATAAAGTTCTTTAAAAAAAATTTTTTTTAATTTTATGTGTATTAATGTATTATTGCCTGTATGTATGTTAAGTGCACCGGAGGTCAAAAGGGGGCGTAAGATTCCCCTGGAAGCCACAATGTGGGTGCTGGGAATTGAACTGGGGCCTTCTACAAGAGTGCCAACACTCTTAACCGCTGAGTCATCTCTCCAGCCCTCTAAAGTTCCCAGTGCACCAAATACTCAGAAATTCCAAAGATATTAAGTTTTTAAGAAACAGTTTTTTTGTTTGAGATAGGGTCTCCCTGTAGCCCTAACTGGGCTGTAAACTCACTATGTAAATCATGCTGGCCTCAATCTCACAGAAATCCTCCTGCCTCTGCCCCGAGTGCTAGGATTAAAGGAGTCTACCACAACACCCAGTCTGGAATTTTTTTTTTTTTTTTTTCTCTTTTTGAGAAAGGGTCTCCCTGCAGCCCCAGCTAACCTGGAACTCACTATGTAGACCAGGCTGGCTTTGAACTCACAAAGATCCACCTACCTCTGCCTTCCAAGTGCTGGGATTAAAGACATGCACCACCACGCCTAGCCAGTCTGGAATTTTTTAATTAATAAAAATTTCTTATTGTTATTATTGTGCTTGATATGTAGGGGCATGTGTGCCACAGCACATGTGGTGATCTGAGGATAACTTTCATGGATTTGGGGGATGAAACTTAGGTACCAGGCTTGTGCAGCAAGTGTTATTACCTACTGAGCCATCTCATTGGACCAAACAGAAGGAATTTTTTAGGTGAGATGCTATGTAGAACTAGAAGAAAAAGTGCCTAATATATAGATGCAAATATATTATCTTATTCATCAACCCATGATACAAAATACTTCACAAAAATATCATGAGAGGGTTTTTATTGGCACAAAACCCAAATCCAAGCTCTTTCCTTTTAAAAAAGGTTTGATTGTTACTACCAGAGATAATTTTCTTCTTTAAATGATTGCCAATGTCCCATTCAATTCAGAGACTTTCTTCTGGCTGTCTGGCATTAAAGAACCTACTCTCTGAATTAAGAGTCTAAGAGACAAACATATTTGACAACAGTGAGTACACATACATGATTGAACCATTTCAGTTTATAAACTAAAGAATGATTTGAAATACCCACATTTCAGAAATGCTTTCTTCTGCTTCCTCAGCAACTTCTTCCTCTCTGTTTGAACCTAGTTCATCATCAACACTTGCAATGCCATCATCACTTTCAACTGGATCAAAGAAATCTTTGTATTTTAGATTTCTGGAACTCTTACTTGACTAAAATAGAAAGGATTTTTGAAAAGTTAAAGACAGAAAAATGCATGGACACACTTATGTGCATTATGTGTCTTATATACACACATATATTTTTGTCTGATGTTAACACTACCAGGCAAAATAGTTATTAGGGAAACAAGCAACTTCAACTTAAGAACTGAAATATAACAATGAAAGTAAGGCCCATTTACAACACATGAAATAACAGCACACTATTCCACATCTCAAAATTTCTAAATACCATCATTTCCAAAAACTTCTTGTCTAAAGAAGTATTAAAAGCCTTTTTCAGTTTTTTCTGAGAGAATAAAAAATAATTTTGGAGGGCTGGAAAGATTACCCAGTAGTTAAAAGCACTGACTGCTCTTGCAGAGGATCTAGGTTGGGATCCCAGCACCCACATAGCAGCTAATAATCTTGTCTCTAGTTCCGAGGGATCTGACGCCCTCTTCTAACCTCCACAGGCATTGCATTACACAAGTGCACTTACATACACCCAGGTAATATACACATAAAAATAATAAATATTCCAAAAAACCCCATATATAT